TGCAGTTAAATGTTTTACCCTTTGTTCTCCCTGCGTGATCTACAATAATAGTCTGCTTCATGTTGATATTTACTGCTGTGTTGCTAACAATTACCTGAAAGAGAAGTTGGGGTGCGTCACTGGGTTGGAAAAAGTTTAGCTACATCAGAAAGCAGGTCTAATCAAGCAGGTTTAGTCTATATCTATAAAAGGCTAAGTTGACGTGTGCGATACATACTAAGCTCTCGCTGGTGCCAATCGCACGTGTGTGTTTCGATCTGTCATTGTCGATCGTGAATTTGGTTGACACTTTTATTATGGAGAAAGGGAGAATAGTGATATTAAAATATTTCTTCTAATTAATTTCCTTTCAATGTGCACAAATCCGTGCACCAGGCCACTAGTTATTAATAACAAACTACAACGTTCACTAATGACTGATTACTATAATCGTATTGCATTCATTTGCCTTACGCACAGACGTACCATTTCTCTCCACTAATCCTAGCAGCAAATATTTTAGCAGCTGATTGCCACGTCATTAGTCTTGTACTGACTTGTTTGGCGTGTGCATCAGGAAATATTTTGCTTTCAGAGAACAAGAAAAATAGGTTTATTTGTGTTACACTTATTAATTTGTGCAGTTATTCAGTGTCTGGTAAGTTAATGTTCAAGAAAAAAATATTTTTATTAAAATGTTCTATTATTTTATGTTAACAATTATTTATTTCAGCCCTTTGTATTCAGCATGTCTCTATCGAAATAAACCTACATTTCTATGAAAATCGAAGCTTTTGTTTTTTTTGTGGCCCACATGAACTTAAACCTTGTTTATTTGGCCCGTGTTAGCCTTTGAGTTTGACATGCTTGGAGTACACAGTTCTTTCTCTCCTCTTGAAGGGAATGGGGACAGTATAAGCTGTCCAGAATGACAGCTTTAATACTCTAAGCTCTGTGAGGTATTAATATTCCTTTTTACTTTTTAAATAACACATGCTGCTATTAAGTATTAAATGGCAACATAAAGCTTTATGATTTAAATTACTTTTAAATTCTTCAAGATCTAACAAAAGGACTTTTTTGAAATACATGTCTTTCTCCACATAGGCTGGCTTGATGTTTACCTTCTTTGGCAGAAATGATACTGCTTGGCGAAGCCGCCTGTTCATAGTCAGGGCCCTTCTTCTCTAGTTTGCTCTGTAGCAATTACTTTAACCCTCCATTTCCCCTTCACATTGCAGATATTTTCATTGTAAAGGAAGGATAGTTGTCTTTATGTTTTCAGGACTGGATGTTCTGGCTGGGTTCATTAAAATAGATTTCTAGCTCAGGCAAAGCTAGTTATAAGCATAAGACTGCTTTTTTCTTTCTTTGTTTAAAAAAATATTTTTATTGACTTCAAAGAGAAAAGGAGAGGGAGAGAGAGATAGAAGCATCAATGATGAGAGAGAATCATTAATCCGCTGCCTCCTGCATGCCCCCTGCTGGGGAGTGAGCTCACAAACCAGGCATGTGCCCTGAACGGGAATAGAACCGTGACCTCCTGGTTCATAGTTGATGCTCAACTACTGAGCCGTACAGCCAGGCTGTTTCTAGTTTTTTACTGTTACAAACAGCACTTCAGTGAACATTCTTATTTATGTCTCCTGTGCACATGTGTGAAGTTTCTCTGGAGTACATTCCTGGAAGTAGAAGTGGTAGAATATGAAGTTTGCACATCTTTGGCTTTTCCTAGATGTTACCAAATTGCTGTTCACGATGGTTATTTCAGTTTATGTGGTATGCATAAGAGTTTCCATTTAGCCTCACTAAAATTTGTTAAGGTCAGACTTCTTAATTTTTGCCAAATTATGGTGATTTATTCTTTTAATTTGCATTTTTCTGATGACTAATGAGCACCTTTGTAAACGTCAGTTGGCCATTGGTTTTTCTCTTCTGTCTCTTTCCTCCCAACTCTTTTGCCCATGTTTCTGTTGGGTTGTCTTTTCCTTCTTGATTATAGGCTCTCTTTATAAATGCAAGATGGTAATAAGTTGCTAGTTCTATGCCCTGCAATGATCTCCTTTTCTATGGCTTCTCTTTTTGTGCTTTGGTCCTAGGGCAGCCGTGGGCAAACTACGGCCCGTGGGCCGGATCCGGCCCGTTTGAAATGAATAAAACTAAAAAAAAAATTTACCCTTTTATTTAATGATGTTTACTTTGAATTTATATTAGTTCACACAAACACTCCATCCATGCTTTTGTTCCAGCCCTCCGGTCCAGTTTAAGAACCCATTGTGGCCCTCGAGTCAAAAAGTTTGCCCACCCCTGTCCTAGGGTCTTCTGAGGCATAGAAGTTGTAAATTTTAATGAGGTAGCATGGAAGTGTGAATTCACTGTGTCATCTTGGCTCAGTGGTAGAGCATTGACCTATGAGCCAGGAGGTTATTGGTTCGATTCTCAGTCAGGGCACATGTCTGGGTTGCGGGTTCCATCCCCTGTTGGGGGCGGGCAAGAGGCAGCCGATTCATCAATGATTCTGTCATCACTAATGTTTCCATCCCTCTCTCCCTTTCCTTTCTTTTCTCTGAAATAAATTTAAAAAATATTATATATATATATGCCATGGTGCTTGCCTGTGGGTACTCATGGTGGATGTTTTTTGATGAAGGACTCTTCGGTATATCTTCTTATTCCTGTTTACACCTTGAATGTTTAGTTTGAATCCCACTAAAGTTGCATAACCTTGGCAAGTTGCTTATTTAACATCTCTAATCTTTTCCCCCATATTTAAGATGAGAGGATAATATACCTTGCAGGGCTGCCTAAAGATCTAAGACAGTTCTGTGCAGGTCCTTCCCATGGAAAAGAAGGCATTCCAGAGAGATTAGTTCTCTCCTGCATCTGTCCCCACCCCACTCTCATCAGTGATTAATGATTTCCCTGGCAGAGCAAACAATTTTCTGCAATTATTGGATATTGAGTTCTATATATGTTAATAGGTTAAGATGATTGATAGTGTCATCCAGACTTGTATATTTTATTGATTTTTTTTGTGGGGGGGGGCGTGTCTTCTGGTTCTATTAATTACTGAGAGAGATGTGCTAAAATATACAACTACAATTGTGGATTTGTCTAGTTCTCCCTGTAGTTCTCTGTTTTATTTTGTGTGTTTGTTTTTTATGACATTATTTTTTGTTGCTGTTGAAATCTTCCATATAGATTCATTTCTTGTTTTATCAGCATTATTGAGGTATAATTGACGTAATAAACTGTTTAGCATTTTTAAGGTATGTATGTAATTTGGTGAGTTTTGTCATATGTATATACTAGTAAGCCAGTGAAACCACTACTACACTGAAGATAATGAACATACCATTACCCTTAAAAGTTTCTTTGTGCCAGTTGGTAATTCCTTCCTCCAGCTTCCTCCTCCCTTCTCCCTCCCCACTGCTCCCAACCAGGTAAACACTGATATACTTCTGGCACTATAAATTAATTTGTATTTTTTAGAATTTTACATAAATGGAATCATACTTTATAGACTCCTTTGTGGTCTGACTTCTTTCACTTAGCATGATTATTTTGGTTTTCATCCATGTTGCTGTATTTATCAATAGTTCATTCTTATTTATTGCTGAGTAGTATTCTATTATATGAATACAGCATAATTTGTTTATCCAGTCACTTATTTCTGGACATTTGGATTCTTTCCAGTTTTTGACTGTTATTTTCCTAATATGTATTATAACTTGTGGAATAAGTGCAAATGTAATTTACCATGTCGTAATATCCCTTTATTTTTCTCTCTCTTTACAGCATGGGTAAGTTCTCTCTCCATGGGGATGATTTTCTTTTGCTGCCCAATAGTCAGCATCTTCACAGACATATTTGGTTGTCGGAAAACAGCTGTTGTGGGTGCTGCTATTGGATTCATTGGACTCATGTCCAGTTCTTTTGTAAGGTAAGGACTTGGTTTCTTCATGTTGCTTTTCGAGAACTGTTAGGTACCTTAAAATTTTCCTTTCAGAAACTTTGCTGTTTACAAGAAAACATCTTCCTTTTTGTTGCTTAAACTGTAAGCAATATGACTTTCTCATTGTTACCCATAGCAGCAAATCAGAGCTTGAGAAATTGAGTGTTTTTGCTTATAGTGCCTAACAGACATTAATCAGGATTTACCAGTATATGTTCCCTGGAGCAAGAAAAATGTTTCTCCTTTTGTTTTTTTCTAATCACATAACAATCCTAAAAGAACTCATACAATGAGTTGGCAAAAGCAATAGCATTAGTTGAAGGTCAGCTCAGTCTGAGGCCCGAAGGGTACAATAAGTGGTATGTTGAAGCAGTTGTTCATAGGCTTGATATGAAATATTTTTATTAATGAAAAAAAACTTTGTTATTTATTTCAACCCAGGTAGAGAATTCCTGTGTGCATTTTTTTAAAAAAAGAATACGCTAAAATTAAAAAAAGATTATGGCAAAATGAAGTGGTCAAATGCAGCTTAAAAGAAAAAAAATATCAGTACATTTTGCCTGTGTCTGTTAAAGATATAGTTCATACAAATGAAGAGGAACTAACTGCGAAGAGCTAATGGGCATATTACTGTGTGAAGCACTTCTCCCTCCAGTCCCAACTCTACTAGTAAATCCCTTTGCATTGTCAGAATAATGCCTGGTTAAAGAAACACTGGCTTAATATATTGCTCTAGCTAACAGGTGATTAACAAGAAAACCTCGTAAAATGATTTCCATCTTATGTCTACTTTAGTGGTTTAATCCTAATTTTTTGCCTCTTTCCCTTACCTAGCTATCTTCATCACTAGTTGAAAAGCATTATTGAATCATTAGAAAAAAAACACACACTTACATTTGTTGCCCTGATGGTTTTTAAATATTCTGGATTTAATCAACAGAATCCTTGGTTTACTAATTTTACCCCCACCCACCCTACCTATACCCCTTCCTCATCTCTAAAATGAGCCTCTTTCTTTCACCTAACTTAGAAAAAAATTTTTTTTGAGAGAATGGGAGGGGGAGAGATAGATAACGAAATATTGATGTGAGAGAGACATGTCAATTGGTTGCCTCCTATTTGCTCCCCGACCAGGTCTGGGGATCAAGCTTCTAACTGAGGTACGTGGCCTTGACCAGAATCAAACCCGGGGCCCTTCAGACCTCAGGCCGACACTATTCACTAAGCCAAACCAGCTAGGGCTAGAAATTTTATTTGGATTCTAGACAATTATTTTTATGCCTTGATAGAAAATATATATGCCATCTTTATAGTGCCTTTATGACTTTTTCCCTTCTAAAGTTGTCTTTTAAAGAAACAAAACAATTTTGTTTGAAATAAGATTCTGCTTAGGTAATTACTTTCACTTTTTTGTTTTTAAAGGAAGTTCTAACTTTTTTTTGTTTTATATAGAGGGAGAAAGGGAGAGAGGGAGAGAGAGAAACATAGATGTGAGAGAGATACATCGATCTGTTGCCTCCCTAACTCAGGCTCAAACCCACAAGCTAGGTATGTGCCCTCACCGGGAATTGAACCCATGACCTTCTGGTGCATGGGATGACATTCCAACCAACCGAGCCACACCAGCCAGGGATAATTGCAGTTTTTGTTTTTTAGCAATAATACAATATTGTGCTATTACCAACTTGTCAGATACCTGTTTTGATCTGGAAGCTTCCAGGTACCCATTGCCAGTACGTGTGGGTAAAGCACTTGAATATATTAACAATCAGGCTTTGGTGGAGAGATGACCAGCCGGTAGAAAACCCATGTAACTTATTACCTTATTTGGTAGACAAAAAACATATATACAAACCTACTTACAGCAAGCAATGTTTTTCAAACTTTTGATGATTGAGAAGTAAAAGTTATGAAATGTGTTTTACATTGTGACTCAACAAAATGTCTTGAAACCATATTTGCTACATGTAATGTTCTCATATTTTCCACTCAGTTCCACTGGTCAAAAGATACCAAACTTTTATTTATTTGAAAAATATGTTTTAAAAAAAATTATTATTTTTTTTTCATTTCAGAGAGAGAGGAAGGGAGAGGGAGAGAGAGATAGAAACATCAATGATGAGAGAGAATCATTGTTCAGCTGCCTCCTGCATGCTCCCTACTGGGGAGCAAGTCTATAACCGAGGCATGTGCCCTGATCTGGAATCAAACCATGACCTCCTGGTTCATGGGTCAACGCTCAACCACTGAGCCACACCGGCCTGGCAAAAGATACTGAGCTTTTAGAGCAACACGCCGGAGCAAGGGGAAATGTGGTATAAGTTCCAAGTGTTGAACAGTGGACCCACTTTTCCTATAGTTCAAGTTCTACCTTCTTAGGAAAACCTTCTCCAGCAATCCCAGGGCACGTCAGTGTCCCTTCTCTGAATCCTTTTTACACACAGGACTGGCATCTTACTGACTTACACTGCACTTACTCAGTTGTCAAACTTTCAACAATTTGACCGATTTGTTACCGAGGTGAAAATTTAGAAGTAAATGTAAAGGACTCAGTGGCAGTGAAAATGCCATTACAAAGCTTATGTACTTGACTTTGTGGGAGAGATAGGAAGTATTTAGTATTTAAAATGATGTCCAAAAGAATGTTTTCAGTTTATATCCATGGCTCCCTGGTCTTCCAGCTGGCAGCTCTACAGTACTGTGGTATAATCATATAGCAATTGATGTTCATGATGATACTGTGTTGTTCAATACCATTTTTTTTAAATTTAAATTCTTTATTGTTTTTTTTGTTTTGTTAAAGAATTATGAATTTATTAGGTCATCTGGAAAACTAGATGGTGCCAGCCAATTCGTTATTGTTGAAAGTATTACATAATTCTCCTTTCCCCCCATTGTCCTCTCCCACCCCCCAGCACAGGCCCTCACCCCCATACTGTCTGTGTCTATTGATTATGCATATATGCATGCATACAAGTCCTTTGGTTGATCTCTTACCACCACTCCTTCCAGCCTCCCCTGGTGAATACCATTTTTAATATACACCTTGAAGAAAGCAGAGAAATGTATAATAGATTTAGATTCTTCCTTTAAAATTAAATAAAAATAAAATTATAAATAAAAAAATAAAGTAGTGCCTTAAGAAGTAAGTTGCAGTTAACTGGAAAACTATTTCTATGGAAAAATTGATGCAGAATAAATGAAATATTTATATTTTGTTCTGTAGTATATGGGATAGATATCTTGTTTTACTAAGCAGACTATGAGTAGGGCATAACCACATTTTAAATATTGTTTTTCACCAAGTACCTGGAACACAGTAGCTGCTGAATATATGTTTATTGAATGAAGAGTGGAGATAAAGTAATGGATGATGAGGGTGAGGTCAAGTTAATCTGGGAGTGACTCTGGAACCTGATTAAAAGATGGTGCTAGTTGTGGATTAATAGAGGGAAAAGGGCATCTGAGAGGTTTGCAAACATGCTTAATTTTTATCAGATTCTAGAGTTCCTGTGCCTACCTCAGCATATTGCTAGACTAGTATTGTCCAAAATTTAATTATTAACCAACTTTATCTTAATTTCTATTAAATAGTTTGCCTTCATTATTTGATAAATAGCCTTTTGAATTGGACATGTCAAAGGAAAACATATTGTTTTCTTTTTCTCCTTAATTATTTCAAAGAATGTAATGATATGCTCCTTTGTTTTTATAAGAAATATATAATTAAGTTACTTGGTTAAACTATAAAATTCTGAATCCTTTATTATTTCTTTGAGACGTATGTGGCCTTAAAGCTTACAAACTGGGAACATGCTTCATTTGATCTTTCTGCAATGAGAATATGACTTCTTGCTATCTTGCATAACACCGAGAACAGTGCAGTACAGGGCGAAGGTTGGTCTGCAGCCCTGAGGCCAACAAAAATGAGACACAACTGCTCTTCTGTGCAGATGTTCCTGACATAACCTTGGGGAGGAAATATAAAATACAGCCTTTTCCTTTGTGCCCGGGAAAACTCCATAAAATAATGGGTTTTCATAGTTAAAACATTTACTGAGACTAAGTTGTTTTTGTGTTAGTTTTAACGCTGTCGGTTTCACTGAGACCCGTCCTGTATGAGTGTGGAGAGCACACAGCTTTTACCCAGTGCTGCAGGATTCACGGGAAATCCATGGGAAGAGAAGGAGGAACAAAATCACCGATGACCTTAGCGGTCATCTTTCACATACTTGAGGCATTTATATCACCCATTCAGATTAAGTTAAAATATGTTTAGTGCCACATTCTTGGTTTACTAAGTTTTTTACCTGTCTGCCTTTAGTTACATTTTATTTGTAGAAAATACACTGATTCACTAAAACCAACTTGCTTGCTAAGGTTTTATTCTACCAAAGCACGTGATAAAAATAATGAAAGCTGCTTTCCATTTTTTTCGTCTTCACACAGTTCCATCGAACCTCTGTACCTTACCTATGGAATCATATTTGCCAGTGGCTGCTCCTTTGCGTACCAGCCTTCCTTGGTCATTTTGGGACACTATTTCAAGAAGCGCCTCGGACTGGTGAATGGCATTGTCACCGCTGGCAGCAGTCTCTTCACAATTTTGCTGCCTCTCCTTTTAAGGGTTCTGACCGAAAATTTGGACCTCTTTTACACGCTGAGAATCCTCTGCATCTTCATGTTTGTTCTCTTTCTGGCTGGCTTTACTTACCGACCTCTTGTGCCCAGTGTCAGAGCTAAAGAGAGTGGAGTCAAAGGAGGCAACAGATCCTCCCTCTTTTCCAGGAGAAAGTTCAGTCCTCCCAAAAAAATTTTCAATTTTGCCATCTTCAAGGTGACAGCGTACGCAGTGTGGGCAGTTGGAATCCCGCTTGCACTTTTTGGATACTTTGTGCCTTATGTTCATTTGGTGAGTATGCTTCCTTGGCTTTGCTGGTAACAGGTATTATTTCACACAGGAAAACCTAGAAGAGCAAAATAGATCAGGTTGAAGTTGGCCTTAAAATCTCTGGTGATCACAATTCAGGTCTTTTAAGACAACAGAGCTATCAGATCATTAAAGAGGGGAAATGTTTAATGGTGTGCTTTGATACTTTAAACATCACTAAACCTAAACAAACAAGAACAACTTCAAAACTTGATGGGTCACTGTTGCTTCAAGTGGCTTGCAGATCATAATCAGTGGCAAAGATGGTGCAGTGGTTTTTGCCAACATCAATAAATTCTTTTTGAAACAGGGTGTGGAAATTAGGTAAATAGGAAAAGCCAGTGGCCTTGACACAAAGAAGCCTGACATTCACTTGTGGGATACTTCTGGGATTGATTATTTAAGAAATGTTAGCAAGTTCCCAATGAGAGGAGAGGGAAGGGTTTCATAGGAAATTAGGATTTCAAGTGCTCCAGCAATTTATATTGCTTACCTCTATTTCTACTGAACCAAGAATAAGCAGTGTCTAAAATATTTGCCCCTGGCAGATTTTGCTCTAAGATGCTTATTAATGTGTTTTTCCTTTTTTCTTACTGTTGTGGCTGAAAGTGTATTTATAGGTCAACATACTTGACAAACAAAAATGATACTAAGATAAATTTTTCTTTTGTATGCATACTATGTGTGTGAACCGGAATCCTATCCAGCTTTTAGTCTACTTTTGGACATTCCTGCGATTTTTCTTTAAAGTTTTAGTGAAAGTTTGTAACATAGGTCAAAAAATTACTGGGCACAAGGGGTCATCTGGTAAATTATATTCAACACTGTGGGTTCCTATGCCCAGTTCATAGGAATTAGATTAAGGAAACATGAAGAGAGATGGCAGGAACGTCCTGGATCCAAGTATACTTTCATTTCTCATTTCCCCTTGTTCTTTTTTTGCCAGAGGTGTTGGGGAAGCATCTGGGATGACCACAGGGGAGACAAGAAGAACTAGTTTTTAGTACTGTGAGCCACTTGGCATTTTTTAGTGACTGGGGTACTGGGTAAAATGAGCTAGTATGTGACCCCTGTCACATATGCATTATGTGGCTACATCTTGATCTAATGATCCATTGCACATTTTTTAGGAAGGCATATCCGAACCATTGGCAACTATATTTTTGTTGTTGGACTACAGATCCATTGTGGAAGGATCAGCTTTACCAACTCCCTCTTCCATGGCTTCTCTTATTAAGATAACATTTGTTATGTTCTTTTCAAAGATGAGTAGAGTTTTTTAAATAATTCTCTTTGGGACTATAAGGTGAACACACCCAGAGAAATCAGTCTCCCAGCTTTGCTATACCAAACATTTATCAAAGCACAAGTAGCAGGTGATTGTCTAGTTATTTCTGGTAATATTTTTATAATTTGTAAATTAATTTAACATACACTATTTCATTTGATCACAAGAAATCTGTGGCAGAATAAATAATATTAGCCTATGTTTTGCGACTGGAAAACAGACCCATTGTTAACAAAGATGTTGCCGTTCTCTCCCTCCCTGGAGCACTCCTGCATCTTTCCCGTTCCCCTCTTCTTCTCCCACAGGCACAGATCTCCTAACCTCTAAGGGACCCCAGGAGACTTGCAACCAGGGGAGCAGTGGGCAGCGACAGCTCCTTCCGGGCTTACCCCCTGAACCTGTCTTCAAGGCCCCCTTTCTTTCCGACTTCTCAGTGAGCCAAAGCACTCACCTACCCTTTCTCCTGTTGCTTCTTCTATCCTAAGTCCTTCCTTGTTTCATTATCCCCAGCTTTAATAAACATACCCTGAAATTAGAATAAAAAAGAAAAGAAATTATGTTATGTAACTTCCTAAGAATCATATAACCGCAAAGCACGGTTTGGTTCCCTTCCACTGTGCTTACCTGGTGGCAAATCTAGAATAGCCTTATTTTGGAGCACAATGGGCCACTTCCCTGGGTATACCACCAGATATGCCCATCTTATTTTTTGTTGTTGTTGTTAATCCTCACCAAGGATATTTTTCCCATTGATTTTTAGAGAGAGTGGAAGGGAAGGGAGAGAGACATTGATGTGAGAGAGACACATTGATTATCTCCTGCACGCACTCTGACTGGGGTGGGGATCGAACCTGTAACCCAGGTATGTGCCCTTGACCAGGAATCGAACCCAAGACCCTTCAGTGCACAGGCCAACTCTATCCACTGAGAAACATGGGCCAGGGCAGATATGCTCATCTTACTGGGGGGAAATGAGTGTGCCTAATAAAACTTAATAAATATGTTATGGTCACTTCCTTAAACAAATTTCTTAGTAGTGAGTGATGAGTGAGACGGTGTTACAGACACTGTGTTCACCAGGAGGCAATAAATCAGGTAGTACAGGAGCAGTGAGGTTTTTTCCGACTCTGATAACAAGCCAGGCCTCTTTCCTGCTTTTCCTCCTTTAGGCATGTTTTCTTAGAAAAGGTGTTGATATTTGGGATTTTCTCTGTCGAACTGTTATGGCACTGAAAGCCACGTTGGAGAGCAAACACCAGACAGTTAAATACTATGTAGGTGTTTGAAACTCGTGTTTGATGGGTGCACTGAGTTGTCGACCTGTTATAATTTAAGGTTTGAATTAAGGACAGTTAATCCAGACTTCCTGGAATGGGACACCTCTTTCCTCCTCAGAGTGGGAAAAGGTGTCTCAAATCTTTCCAAAGACCAGTAGATGTTGTTCAATTCATATTAAACACTTTTTGGGTGTTGAAGGGCATAGATATGTAAGGCATAAGAACCTGTCCTGAAGGAACATAAAATCTAGTAATGTAATAAAAACCATTATAGCTTATAAAGGACGTTTACATACATTATCTTATTTAATCTTCAAAAACAATGCACTTGCTCTGATGTATCATCCTTATTTCATGGATGAGAAGACTGAGGCACTGAGAGATTTGAAAACTTGCCTGGGGGTCCACAGAGAGAGGGACCGATAATTGGTGTACTACTTAGATGCAGTATTGTGGGGTGGGTAAAGGTAAAGGCTCTGAAGTGAGACAGATTTGAGTTTGAATCAATTCAGAGCCGAGTTTGAATCCTGGTTTTGTTCTTTGTTAGTTGGACAACCTTGGGTGACCTCTCTAAGCATTAGTCTCTTCACCTATAAAATAGGGATAAACCCAACTTTGCAAAGTTGTTGTAAGGATTAGGGAAAACATATGCAAAGCTCCTATCCAGTTCTGGTATAAATATGAGAGTGATTTTAAGACAAAGTGGTTGCCGATTGAGTACTTTTAGGGGCGATAGAATCAAAGGAGAAAGTGGTATCCATTTGGAACAGTGGTTAGTTAAAAACTTCACAGGATTGGAATTGGGTTAAAACCAGATCCTTAATCAACTAGGGAACTAATTTACCTATCTAGGTCTTTTTAAAGATTCAGAATGAAGTGCTCTTGTGGTTATGTTAATCCTAAGATCTTGTTTATTAGTCTATTCATGATGATTTGAGAGGGGACTATGTATGCTTTATGGCATTCTTGCTCTCAAAGCAAAGTTGGAGGTCTTATCTTTCAGTGTCACTTTTAAAAATAAAGCGTCATATTGCTCCCTGGAAGCTTCAAATGATCTCTTAGGCCTACCCACTTACAGTCTCCATCGTGAGGGTACAGATCTTACAGATCAGTTCAGATGAGACCTGGCTTTCTAAATAACCATTTCTAAGGTTATTTAGCAGCTGCTTCAGTTTTTATGATGTGCCCCTTCTGCCTAAGAGTTTGTTTAGTTTTCTGGGTTACGTTGCTATGGCTCCTCCTCCAGTTTTTCATTAGCTTCCAGAAGCTCAACATTCTCTTAGTTTTCCTCCTACCTCTCCATTGGAAATGAGATGATACATCATTCCTTCTTAGTTTCTTGGCTGGCTCCTTTTCACCCTGATCCCTGAATATCAGCTTGCCCCTCAATTTATCCGGATTGGCTCAGTGGTTGAGTGTCGACCCAAGAATCAAGTGGTTACCAGTTCGATTCCCAGTCAAGGCACATGCCTGGGCTGCGGGCTCGATCCCTAGTAGGGGGTGTGCAGGAGGCAGCCAATCTGTTTCTCTCTCATCGATGTTTCTCTTATCTCTCTCTCTCTCTGAAATCAATTAAAAACATTTTAAAAAATATTTTTTATTGATTTTTAGAGAGAGAGGAAGGGAGAGGGGGAAAGAGAAACATCATTGTGAGAGTGGAACATCAATCAGCTGCCTCCTGCACTGGGAATCGAACTGGTAACCCTTTGGTGCACGGGATGACGCTCATCAACTGAGCCACACTGGCCAGGACACCCTAGATCTTTTTATTCTACTGGTGGTTTCATATAAGTAATTTATTTTCTCACCATTTTAATCTTTAAAATTCTCTGCTTTGATGCCACAATTACTATTCACATTTTGTACTTAGAAGACATTCTGGTATTCATAGTCATTAATCACTTAACAAATAAGCACAAACTCAGCAAACCTCAGAATAATTAAATAATACCAATGCCATCTGTTGATGGAGGAAAGAGTTGATGTGTTTTGCTTTGAACTACAGCTTTATATGCATATGTTGAAGTTATCTATACTAATGAAAGGGTAATATGCTAATTAGACCAGACATCTTCGGGATGTCCTTCCGGACAAAGCCATGGTGGCAGGGGCTGAGGCAGAGGCGGTTAGGGGTGATCAGGCCGGCAGGGGAGAGCAGTTAGGGGGCAATCAGGCCAACAGGGGAGGGCAGTTGTGGGCAATCAGGCCAGCAGGGGAGGGCAGTTAGGAGTGATCAGGTCGGCAGGGGAGTAGTTAGGGGCATCAGGCCGGCAAGCAGAGGCGGTTAGGGGCGATCAGGCAGGCAGGCAGGTGAACGGTTAGGAGCCAGCGCTTCCAGATTGTGAGAGGGATGTCCCAACTGCCGGTTTAGGCCTGATCCCACAGGGGATATCCCCCAAGGGGTCCTGGATTGGAGA